AAGGCATGCTAAGTGAGCTAAACAGCATGAGCTTCATAAGCTGACAAGCACTACAATACAGTACATTAGACAACATGAAAACATGTATGTATCAGTAAAATGGAGACTTCTATTCATTTTTGGCAAAATTTGATTAAAGATAGTACAGGGGCTTTGACCCAATTCTTGAGTAACTTTAAAAATTTGTAATGATCTAATTTTGATCAGAATCAGCTCAAACTTTCTACACAACATTATAAAAACATGTATATGTATTAGGAAAAATTATAAAAATGGTGAATTCTCTCCTTTTGATTTTTGTAGAAATACCCTGTATGCTTATTTTGGCCCAATTTTGAATAACATGACAATCCACTGACTGACTAACAAAAAGCTACTTAAGAATCCTATGGGAAACCCTGATTTAGTATATGGAAATTTTAATGTCAATGACAAAAAGGAGAGGAATTACAAAGAGGGAATTTATGCAATTACAATCACATGAATATGATTGGTATGGGAAGTGACACTTAATGACAACACATTATTGTGAATACAATATCAACCTATTCAACTTTGAACCCGGGCTAAAGGCCACTATACACCAGGCAATTCTATTGCTTGCAATCTGTGGTTACTTTGATGTTGTAAGCAATTGCCTAGAATAGAACAGGTTTCTATTCTAGGCAACAGTGTTGCTTGAAGATCAAAGTAACCACAGATTGCCTGCAATAGCATTGCCTGGTGTATAGTGGCCTTAACATCACAAATGACAATCAAGAAAGTAGCACACACAAGCTAGATACATAACATAAAAACAACAAAATTAGAATTTTCATATTACATGTAGCTGAGTCATATTACATGTAGCTGTGTCATAGTCATTGTACAGACATGATTGACCTAAAAGCCGGCTATGAACCCGGCCAGGTCAGTCAAACAATCTTATAAGCTAATGGTAGAAATTTAGCAGTCCATTATTTAGTAGAACTACCTTTGATGAAACTGAAATGGGAACAGACCACAAGCACAATTAAGAGAAAAAGTCTCCCAGGAGAACGAGAACTTGTGCAGCAGCAACCTCTGTAGATCGAGGTGTAGCTCATCATCATTAATTTTCATTTGAGACAAACCACACCTTGCATAATTGGGAGTGGTCAACAGTAATCAAGAAAACAGTAAGGTTACGTAGTCTATAATATCTATGATTAATGTTATGTTACTCCTAAATGGTTCAGAATCAGAGTGCACACATTCATTAACTGTCTTTTTTAAGCGTCAAAATCTAAACCTTATAGCTTAACTTAAGCTCTCTCTTTCCTATAACCACTTGATGATGATGACCCAGTACTATTATATGCCAACACTATTGAC